AATCTGTACAGTATACCCCTTGGTCCGATTTACAGAACTAGTGTATAGTAGAGGAGAGATTTTCTCCCCAAATTATGGAATTGGTGTTCGGACCCCTGACTCAAAGACGGTAATAAGATAGATTACTATAGCAGCCAGTCCCTACAATGTCCTTTGCAAGACAGGGAGATGTATCAGTAGTCAGTAGTGGGTCTTTTCACGGATAATCATAACAATGGACCGATTCTGTGAAACAGGAATTCAAAATAGTTTCTTTTTTATACAAATTCATAGCAAAACTTTTCACTGACAGTCACTCATGTCCGACTTTTGTGCACTCACTGGCATCGTTAACATAGAGGAGAAGGGGTGACCCTGTGCTGCCTTTCGTTCGCCACGTATTTGCCACAGCAACCAACATTGCAGTGCCCGAGACTCCTTGGACAGCCAAGTCAGTGGGGCCTCTCCTTTTCACTGCTTTTGGTGTGTCCACTGCTGTTTTCCTTCCTCCATGGTCCATCCACCATCTTTAGGGTGGCTCTGTGGCTGGCCTGGACCGCCCCGCCTACGTAATTTGCACTGGTATGATTAGGAGCGATTTGTCTACGGCTCGTCATCACCTATACCATGGGCAAACCGAGGGGGAGGAGTAGCGTTCGGAATGGCACTCATTGAAAAGGCAATAATTGGCGGTACAAAATTCCTGACTGCCAAGAGGCCCGTGGTGCCCAACGGCCCCCAACTTGGAAAACACTACACAGAGTGCCGCCCTCGAGCCGGTCGTATAAAAGCCATTCTCGTCCGGGACGCTGGCACCCGTTCTGAATCTGAATTTCGGTTTGAACCATGAGAACTGCGGAGCCTCACCCGGCATGAAGCCCTCCATGGACTGTACCTGTTGTGTTTTTCTTCTTGAGCTAATATTTACTTCAATGTGCCTCTGGAAGGCGCTTTTTTTCTTCGACCAGCAAGTGCGGCCCGGGCTGGGCGAGTAGGCGCGGCCGGCGTGGCGTGAGCTACATGAATGAAGTATCGTCGCCGTCGGAGAACGCCTAATGTACAACACGAACTTTCGAAAATGTAGATATGTCAACAAGTTACGGGATTGTTGTTGAGATCCTACCAGAATCTTCCTGAAAGGCACAATGACAAGTCGAAACTGAGTATTTGCAGCCAGGTCTGACTTAATAATGTCACATGTACCACTTGCGCCGTTACACCCACGAATATTCTGCGTTTTCTTAGTTCTCTAACTTATGGAATCTGGGAAATGTTAATTAAGTATGTCAAAAAGAATTGAAGTTTATAATTATGAAGGACCTATCAGCAGTTTAATTGATATTCAGTAAAGAGCACAAATCAGCTTCAAAATTACCCAAGAACTCTGGGGTTCGTTGTCCGTCGTCCGAGGGAGTGCAGCGAACAACAAACTCCAGAGTTCTATGGGTATTTCAAAATGACACGAAGATCAGGACTCCTGAACAAATAGCAAGGGACTGAGTTTCTACATGGCATTAACGTGCTTCAGTTGTGGAAAATAGTACTTTGTGAATGTTTTGTTTCACTTCTTTATGGTGTACGACAGGTGGAGATTATCGCCACGAAGAATTTGATGATGACTGGCAAAGGAAACAAAATTAACAATCTTTTTCTTGATGAAACTTGATAAGGTTTGGACAAAAGTACCGAACACTGTAATAAAGACGAAAAACTGGATTCTTAATTGCAACAGCAATAAAATTTTCTTTGGCCCCATTTTTCTATAACTGACGAACTTTTCTTCAATGGATGGAAATTATTTGACACCCACATTTAAGTTATTGAGTAATGAAAAGAGCACTTTTTATCACAGGTATTATTACAGATTACTCGCCCAGCGCCTCATCAAATCCAAACAGTGTTCATTACCGAGGATTTGCTTTGCGTTGAAAAAGTCCAGGTGTGCGTCAGGTACTATCCATCTAGACCTGTTTCCTGTGATGTCACAGTCGTGCTGTGCTGTGATGTGTTGTGATGGTAATGAGTGCATAGTGTTGTGATGGTAAATCTACTTATTCAAGATAAACTGGTCATTGCAGCGCTTGTACATGTGCGTTTGTACATGTGCGCATGTACATGTACATGTACGTGGTTGAACCTGCCCGTAGATTATGCGATCACCGTGGCCAAGGCGGTCCCCACTTGGTGGTATTGTTTACGTTTGGCGTGGTCCAGTCATGTGGGCGAAAAGGGTCTATACATGTACTCGATATACGTTTGCAGTGGAAAAATCAAGACGATCAAATCAAGAGCAGCCAGCGTCACGCTAAATCTTTCCGGGTTCAGTTGATGTCAAGCTGGCCGCTTGAAGTCGCAGTTCGCCTTGATTTTTTCCACTACACACGAAAAACAACGGTGACACCGGATAGCTTGCTAGTGCGGTGTGGCTACTGACGAACAGCGAGACCGATCCGAGGCTACGATTGCCTCCGCTACCCCAGAGCACTCCATGGACTCTCCCATTTAAAAATCTATCTACTTACCGGGATGGTCACTTCTGTCCTGGAGATTCCCATACCTCGTAGAACGATTTCCAAGAGCCGCGAATCAGCGGGCAATGTGGTGTGTTCGGCCCTTGCCATGTCAATAATACGAACACCTCTTGACTTGCTTGGAAATCCTCAGTGTAAAATCCAGTACTGAACAGCCAAGATTCCTCAAAAGCTCGTAAGACTTAGTTTTTCATTGAAAGCGTTAGCATACTTTGGCAACGGTAAAACTACCACCTTTTGGGAAAAAGGGATTCTTTTACGGATGGACAAAACTTGTCATCACAAAAAGTCACTGAAGAATGATTTTGCCCCCCCCCGACATAAGACTAGTGTTTTCGCCACTTTTGGCCCCGAGCTGGATCAAAAGAGGGCGCAATTTTCCTAGCAACAGAGGCACCTTTAACTGCACATCGCTGATTCACAAACGACTACGAAACGCAAGCCTTGCAGTCGTATCGCTACGAACAAAATGAACACTCCTGACCAACATGGATCTTCTCAAACGATAAGGGATACTTCTGCTCAAGGCGGATAGGCTCAGAGCAAGAACATCACTCCAAGAAATTTTGGAATGACGTAAAATCCTGTAAGAATGAACTGCCATCAGCTGTCTGTCTTTGTGCTAATGGGCCCAGAGTTAGACGACTAATCACTGGCCAAAATGACGGCAACATAAAATTACGGTTTACTGTAACAGTTTCAAATATCGGAGTTCCAATAAGTTACCCAATTTCACTTGGTGTAACACTTAAGATTATCAGTCAGCAGCTTTGATGTCCGATAGTAATTAAGCCTCGGGTTCTGATGGCATAGCATAATTTGAATGTAGGGGATGAACGTGTTTGCTTTTCGCATGTATGTAACCATCATGCCTTTTGTCAATATATTGTGTACCCTGCAGATTTTGAGTACAATGTCTCCCTCTTTGGTTTCAGTACGATGTTGTGCCGCCCAGTGTGAAGTTCGGTCGATCTAATGTGTTCAAGCATACTTAGCCATTGCTTGAAAGAGAACTTTGCCGGCTCAGCGGCACTTTTCGTAATCATGGGAACGTCCCAATGATGTGCACGTAGTTTGCCCTCGAAGACAGGAAAACACCGCACTCCCGTAAAAGAGCTTTGCCTTCTCAGAAACTATGACCACTTCCACTTAGTCCCAGCCCCCCCCCCACGGGGCCCTGAAGAGCACCCTAAAAATCTATCCCATTACGTCCCTGCTTAATGACTCCGACGAGCAAAGGCGAACGGGTCCTGAAGCCACAGAATCTCGTTCAAAAGTTGGGGAAAAAATGACATAACACTCTTACATGATGCAGCAGAATGAGCCCGTTCATTATTCCAAAAAGCAAAGCGAGTGCGTCACTGTCAGGCGTATCGACAAGAATATAATATCAAATCAGTGCTCTGAAATTATTTGATTGGATATTCTGATCACGGTGCCACGCAACCCTTCCATATTTCACTGTCAGCGTATCGCTGGGCTCAACCTCGACTCCATGGGGTGCGTGCGCATCCCCTCACAAGCCCTGGCTATGTAGAATACGAAAATGATGCTGACTGGCAATTCAGGATGCATAAAAGTAAAGTATACCGCGCGCGTATTTCAAAAGCCGCATGCTCGCGCCAAGGTATTCTCCTGCACGTCACACACGCGTAAATCCGCGTCACGCGTAAACACACTGACTTAAGCCCTAATTTAAATCAAGCAAGGCATGATGGAAACAAATATGGTGCGGCAAGAGCGTACCCATGGGAACGACGTTGGGCTTTGCTGACCAG